CTCTCTCTCTCTCTCTCTCTCTCCACCTCTCTCCCTCTCTTCCTCTCTCTTTCTCTCTTTCGTTCTACCGTCGCACGATAATCGTTGCTTCATTCACGAAGATTCCCGACACGTGCAATCAATGTTCGAAAAGTCCGTCTCATGACAGGACAAACGAGCGATTTGGCCGATGGTGAAGCAGCGGAAACTACAATTAATTAGAGACGCCCTCCTTCCTTCTCTCTTTCTCTGTCGCTCCTTCTCCCTTCCTGGCGAACGGTCGGCAACTATCTTGGTAGCTAATGACTGCACAGTTTACCTAATTACGAACGAGATCCCATTTCGTAACGCGATAAAGATTCTCGGGGGACTCGTTTTTTCATCTCTCTTTCTCTCGTTCGTTTTTTTCCTTTTCCCTTTTCATCCTGCACGAACACATCGCGTTTATTGCGACGCGCGCACGTCGCGGCGACAATCTTTACGTCCAATTTAAAACCGCTTCGCGTTTCCCGCGGGGCGATAAAAGGAAGCGAGACGTGCGGCTCACTCGCCAACAACGGCGACATTTGTACACTATTGCGTCGGAATTCACGGCGACGGTCTTTTATTCGGATTCTCATCAGCCGTCGTGCCGGATCGGTCTCGTGCGCGGTAACGTCTCAATAAAATGTTAAACCAGCGGGATCGCGCGCGCGGCGAACGAGCGGAGCGCGCTTAATGCGCCTCCGACGCGCTTGTAACCTTTAAATCCCGGCGTATTTGCATCGGGAACCACTTTGCCTCTTCGATCTTATCTGAGAAGGAAGTTCGTGGCGTGGCGTCGCTCGCTCGTATGGCCGGCAGGCCGTTCGCAATAAAACAGCCGCGAGCCGGGCGATTGATTTCAGATTCTTTCTCTTTCCGCCCTCCTCCGTCTTCTCCCTTCCGTGCCACGAGCTCCCCTGTGCCCGGCGATCGACATTCACGAGGAGTAGTCGCGGTTTAATGCACGTCGGTGAAGAGGGAGACGGAGTGAGACGCCGAGGCGCCTCTCGGCGCATCACCTGAAACTTTTCTCCTCCGAGCGGACTCACGCTCGAAATTAAAGACCGCCGAGGTCGCCGGCGAAACGAAACCGGAAACTGAGCTCGTTTCGCGGTCCGGCGTGGAATTCCGTAAACTACCGCGCTCCCGGCGTGCTCGAGCATCTCGGCGAGTTTTTTCCACATAGCGCGATGATAAACGAGAGCCGAGAGGACGAGCGCGCTCGTCCAATTCCGCTTGGGCGAGTGTATCTTGCCCGAAAACGGTCTGGAGAATCTCCTCCGCGGGGGGACGTGCTCCTCTCTCCTCGTTTCCTCCTCCAACTCCCGGGGAAACCCGGCCAAGTGCGCGGTCTTCATCTCGGGGCCGCCACTTGAAAGCTGCTCTCGAGCTTCGCGGCCAGCGCGCGAGCGCGCCGATACGGTATAGTGTGCGCTCCGCTTCATCCCGGCCCGCGGAGTCCTTGATTCTGTCGGGAAATCTTGGGAGAAAGCGCTTCTCGTACTGAGACAGCATCGAGGAAGAAGGTTGAAAAGGACCAGCAGCTATAGAATGTACGGGAGGAAGAAAGACAGAGAGAGAGAGAGAGAGAGAGAGAGAGAGAGAGAGAGAGAGAGAGAGAGAACGTAAGAGAGAAAGGAAGGAAGATGAGTGCGGGCGGGACACGATATTGCTGCTCTCCAATTCGCTCTCCATAAGACCCTTCTGTTGCGTCTATCGCAATGTCTAGTCGCAAACAAACGCAGCGCTCGTCGCGACGATCATCGCGAAACTTGGGCTCGCTTCAATTATTACCAGTGAACTCTATACTATACTCACATATATGCACATGCACATACACACACACACGCGCATATATACTTAGTGTTTGAAAGGAAGAGACGAGTCGCTTATCTTCCTCTGGTGAAGTTTTTGATTGGTCAACGGTTTTCTACGATCCTTATTGTAAATTTCAGCCTCACCAACGTCAATAAGCATAGAGCTTTCCATTATATACACACATGTCTTTATGCCTGATGTATCGCTCAGTGTTCTCAACTCGGAGAGAAAAGAAGAAGAAGCTGGGGTTATCTTTTGTTTTCTCTCTCTCCTGTCCTGCTTTTTCCTACTTGAGTTGGCCGTCCATAATATAGTGCAGAATTCACTGATTATATTACAAATACGACCCCTTGACGTTGCGACAGTCAATTAGAATTGAGGATGGTTGACGTTGTATCTATGACGATCGAGTCGGCTTTCGCCGTCGCAGACTTGTGCAGTCTGTTTTCCAAAACGATCTGAAGTCTTCAATTGGACGAAACTCGAAACGGTGTAAATGTCCAAGAAAATTTAATTTTTCAAAAACAAGTTCTCTTGTAAAACCATCTACTACGTCCTGAATCTCTCACAGCGAAAGTATTCAGATCGATTTGGGTCCAATTCCACATAGATCAAGACCTTTCTTAGAAGAGGTTTGAAGACAAGATGTGAAGGACATAGCTATATTCTCCTTCCACTTTCCTCAGAAATACCATCTTCGTCTAGATTTCTCCAATAGGGGTCAAGCTAGACAAAAACCGAACACTCTCTTGTAGCCCAAGCTATTCTTTTCAGACGAAGTCTTCACAGCCTCTTGTGGAACGCTCAATCTATGTACACAAGTCTGTGACCCGTTTACGGTTGACATTGCGATAGACGTAAAAGGTCCTTCATAGCTTTCCTTCTGCATTTGTCGTCAAATCAACTGCAACGTTCTTCGTGATGACGATTGTCAACTCACGAGGTGGACCTGCTGGCTAAGCTGAAACGGCCAATCAGTGCGTAGTCTTCATGCCACTGCCGCTTCTAAATTGGCCGTCGCAGCGCCAGGTAAGTTTGCGCCACGAGTTCGCGATTATCGTCATAGCCGACACCGCGACAGACATAGAAAGGCCCTGAAGGTGTATTTCGTGTCGTGTCGTCGCAGCTGTCGCGCGCGTTTCGCCCGTAGCCGTAGCTTCGTCGTCGTTCGCGACGCGTCTCGAAACGGCTGCTGGCTCGCCGACCGGCCGACACATTGACGTGGTCACGCGATTAAATTGGATCAATGTGCGGCGAGAATGGGTTGCTCTAATTGCGTGGAAATTAAAAGTCCCGCGTTCACCGCGGTGACTCGGATCGATCTCGGTGTGTTGTTCGACCTTCGCTCTTCGCGGTCCTGGCTTGATCCCTTTGCTAATCTCGGTTACTCGTTAGCCAGCTGCACCCGATGCGCGCCGAATCGCGAAGAGAGCGGAGCGAAATTTCTCTAGTGAGGTTGCGCCTGAACGGTCGGGTGAAAATGTAAAGCTCCTTACTCTACCACGCGCGTCGGTTGTTTCGGTCTCGGTCCTTGGTCTTTCTCGCCTGAGGCCGTCAACTACCGCGTGAAGTAAACGTTCGCTGCTAAATGGTGATTTAGGGCCGACAGTTTGTGCGATAGTTTACGGTATAAGCAGAATCGGTATTGTCTATTAGGTCCTCGAGTTGTTACAGTATCTTGAAAATTGAGAGTTAACGGCTTTAAAGTGACGACGATAGCCGCCGCCGTGTTGTGTCCATTAACCGATGTAGCGGACGATCGTCTGCTCTCTAGTTTTCCGTGTGTGAGTGTCCTAAGGCTCATTTCTAACAGTGTAAAGACTACGTCGTACTTCACTCACAAAGTTCGCGCGGTACGTTTTTCTGTTACTTTTGTTTTTTCCCTTTTTTTCGTTTTTTGCTCTTTAGCGATATAATTGGCCGCACGTATGGTCAATTGTCTCTAAACTCATCTAAAAACTCCGCTCTTCCTCTCTGAGGAGAAAGATCTGGTCTACTATTGTAATTGCCTCCATCGCGATCCACCAATCGACAGATGGATGGATCAAGTATTTTCTAAAAACGCGACTCACAAGTTCGTGCGTTGTTCGCTGAAAACATGTAATTGTCCGTCGAGTCTCTCTCTACGAGAAACGATTACCCATCCCCTCTCGGCATGCTGACACGTCGCTGACACGCGCACGGTGTATTATATCAGGTTAATAAGTAATTTCGGATTTTTCCGATGAAACGAAGGAATATTTTTTTGTAGAACCGGGAAGATGGATTGCCACACTAGATTGGTTAACCCGTTATCTCGGAGTTTCTTGGGGTATGTTTATACGTTACCAAAGATTTCCTGTATTTTCGTGGGAAAAAGGCGTAGATTTTAGCTAAAACTGCTTGATCAAATAGGATTTAGTGTGTTGTTTCTATATTGTTTCTATGTGATGCTGTGATAACGTAGGTAGTGTCATATAGGATGTAAAAAGGTGTAAAAAGTACCGAGACGATGAAATATCTCGAAAACTAAGTATTTTAAAAAGTATGTTTCAGATAAAAGTTGTATGTATTCAAGTGGGACATAAAACAACTATATTATTTTGTTTACAGGTGCAGCCACTTTCGAGATATTTACTGATTGTTACTTTTCATAAATGGAAACCCTATCTTTTTATTATATCAGCTTTTTCTACCAATTAATTTTAACAACTTTTGTCTGAAACATTTTTTCATTCGTCTAATATTTTTTAAGATATTTAAGGAAAACTTGGTAACTTTCTCAAGATTTAGCTTACAACATCTCGGTAACTATTTATTTCAGTAACTTTTACATCGGAAAAAAGTGATATTAGACTTTCTTACTCTGTTTGGTCTCAAGAATATATTGTTATAATAGTGCACTAATTTTTGTTAACTTGATGATTGATTGATTTAGTATCTTAACTTTTGTTAACTTGTTGACTTTTGGAAATTTCAAAAAAGTCTAGTTCCATTTTTTTTCGACAAATGCTTACCGAGATATCGTTAGTTAAATATAGAAAAATTACCAAATTTTTCTTAAATATTTCAAAAAATATTAGGCAAACAAAAAAATGTTTCAAGCAGAATTGTTCAAATTAATTGATAGAAAAAAATGATATAACAAAAAATTGGTGTTTAGGAAAAATAATGATCAACGAATATCTCGAAAGTGGCGCCCTCTGTAAACGGAATGGTATAATTGTTTTATGTTCTCTCCTGAAACCGTACAATTTTTCTCTGAAACATTTTTTCTAAAAATTTTGTATAAGCTTAGTATTTGAGGTATTTCGCTCGGTACTTTTTATATATCCTGTATATATATTTTAGCCTGATTGCAGATTAATAGTTTTTCATGCTTGCGCTAACAATCTTTACAGTTTCTTTTCGTGTAAACTTTGTCAATAAGCAAAGAATTATATAGAAATTCCGAATATTTAGCAGAGGCTTTTCGTCTTTTTTGAGATTATTGAGGAACTGAGCTATTTCTGTATGTGATTTTTACGTTATGTTTATTTAATTTCGAAAATATATGGGATCTTTAGAAATATACAAACCCCGGTAATCTTAACAAAGATAGCTAGTTAAAAACCAGTCTAATGTAATTATATTTTTATGTCGTTATATTTCTATAAAACAACGTACAATCAAGATTGGAGAAAGATCGTAGATATCGAAGCTACGCATACGTTGTTTCATAAAATTAAAAAGACATGAAAAAGTACGATCATTCTGCTTCACCTGAAACATCCGAGGTCACTTATCGTCAATAGCTTTCGCATAAGACACACAAATACAGAGACTGTCTCACGATTACAAAAACGCGCATTCGTCCTCGTTCCGACAGGTCCCCAGAGAATATAATGACATCAAATGGCATATCAACAACGCATTATTGCCGTTACAGACGTCATTAACGCATCATTAATATTTCACGGGACCGACGTCACCCTCTTACTTGGTCGCGCGTCGATCCCGCGCGCCACCGGCTTAGCCTAGATCCAACTGCTTTCTTGCGCCTTCGTCGAACGCCCGGGCGATGTTCATGAACGTCTCCGAGACGAACGGCCGAGATTGACTCGCGCCCGCACCGAAGATTGACGTGAGATTAATCGTCTTGCGCTACCGTTTATCGGGCCGCTGATATAATCGCGTTCTTTAACCTACCCCCGTCGCCAATAATTTTCAGCGACTATACGCTATTTAACGTTCTTGCAGCAGAGAATTAATTCCTTCTTGTCGCTCTCCGCCATGAAATTGATACCTCGCCTGTATACTTGTCTGTAGCAGCAGTAGCAGCATCAGCAGTAGCAGCAGCAACAACAGCAGCAGCAGCAATAGCAGATCAGCGGTTTAGTCATAATAATAGTAGTCAATAGTAGTGGTAGGTTGGTTGCGCGAGAAATCAGGTTTGCAATCACCGAGATATCGCGAGGCCGGCCGCAGCTGTTCGCTCAGTCGATAACGAGGAGCGTGCTCGCAAGCGCGCATGCGCGCGGGGCCCAGGCGCGGCTTAACAGCGGTGCTCCGTTACAAGGCGCATTAGCGAGTTTATTGCCGCGGCGCAATAAATCCCGCAGCTGATCTCCCCTCGTTTAATCTGATCCCGCGAGGACGCCGGCGAGAATCCCGAAATTGCGGCCGCGCCCGATCGTCGATTATGTAATCCATTAAACCTCGTGCGATCGCCGCGGGATGATGCTGCTGCTGCTGTTGCCGTTGCCGTTGCTGCGTTGCTCGAGAGAGAGATCGAGCCGGCTCATTCGTCCCCACCTGCGCTTCCCAGATCCACCAGATTTGCGACGACTCGCGAGAGGTCGCTCCGTTTAATCGTCAATCCAACCGCCGGATAATTTCCTTCGCGCGTGTCCTACCGCCGCCAGCGTGGCTCTGGGTGCCCCCGATTTAAATTCCATTTCAATAATCCCCACGAAGATAATCGTGGGCTGCGCTGGTGCGCGAGCGGAGGGACGAACGAGCCGCTGGCGATGGTGTGTGACTGATTACGACAGCCTTCTGCTTCCCATCAACCCGTCATCAGCTCCAACGATCAAACCGGCGAGTATCGATCATAACTTTAGTCACTGGATCGATGTGTACCTGTCAGCACAGATAGAGGTATCTCGCGCTGGTTGATCGCATCCACGGCTTCCGAAGGTCACCGGTGGACGAACGACCGAAAAGAGAAGTAGCAGCAGAAAAATCCGGCGGAGATCGAATTAGAGAAGTCGCTTGGCGGCAAAGTTGTTGGGCGAGCCATCGCAATTGAAAGAGCCCCGCAGCAGCGTCGATCGCTCTCATGGCTTCTTTTGGGGTTTTTGTTCTTTTTGTGTTTCCTTCCCCTCCCTCCCCTTCCCCTTTGTCGATCATGGCGATTCTCGGGTAATCGCAGATCGCGCAGCTCGATCGATCGGTGCTGGGCTTGGTAGAGCTGCTGATTATCATTCGCAAAACGTCGCGCTGCTCTGACGCGGTGATGACGACGCGGCTGCTGATGAAAACGAACCTACCGTCGTGTTGCAGCAGCGGTAGCGTTACAGTCCTATGGCGACGATGGCGACGGCGCCGACGAAGACGACGACGACGACGACGATGGTGATGACGTCGACGTTGACGGCGACGTTGACGACGACGACGACGACGACGATGACGACAGCGACCTATCGATCTCTACGAGTGCTTTTGACGACGCTAAATGCGACCTCGAAGAGTAAGACAACGCTTGCTACGGGATCTTGTTTGTCTGCCGGTGGTGGCGCCAGCGGAGCGTTTCCATCCAGCCAAGTACTTGCCAGCCGTGAGAAGGGATTCGTCGACACGGATGAACAAGCGACCGCTTTATACGAGTCTATATATCGCCAGCATCGGAAGCAAGAGAATGGACGCGATTGGTGATGCACGCAGCTCATCGACGCCCGCGGAGATGCTCGACGCCATCACGCTGTTGCACGCCTCGGGTGTTGGATCTGTGAACAGAAGCAGACGGCAGATCAGCTAAGAGGTTGTCGGAAGACACCTGTGTGTGCTTTTAGGATTAATTAACCGCGAATTAAGGTCCGTAAGAGCTGCGCAAGGATGGTGGCAGCGAATAATTTTTTGCGACGAGGGGGGGAAGAAGTAATAAGTAGGGTTGCCAGATAGTCGGGATTTCCGGGAATTTCCCGGAATTTTTAAGCTTGTCCCGTGTCCAGGAATTTAAGTCTTCTGTTTCGGAAAATTAGAATTTCAACAAAATCATAATCATAACATTCATATATTTAACTGGTACCAAAAAAAACTTGAGAGTCACCGCGATTTATAAGGTCGAATTTTTCGACGTGCCACCTGAGAAAATTGATGTCAACTAAGCCATTCGCGTGGTAAAAAATGCAATCGCACGGTTTATGTTCAAACTTCTCTTTGCTAGTACCTAATTCACGCATTTGTTTGTTGCGAGTGCATAGCGGCATCTCTTAGCCGTCTTACCCCTCTATCTCTCAAATTTAACTAAAATTCTTTAACAACTTATTTTTCAACCGTCGTCTAGAAATGTCCCGGAAATAGTCATTTCGTATTTGGCAATCTTAGTAACAAAAGAAATTACTCGCTACTAACAACCATGAGCATCTCTTGTTGAATGCTATACTTGAAAATTTTACCGACAAAATGCTGGCTCTTGTTCCTCTGCAAAGTTGATGTCACATTAAGAACTACAGATACATTTACAGATACATTTATTCAATGGAAATATGTGAATTGGCGCATTGCTCGGTATGTGACGAAAACGACGAAAAATTTCGAGATTGACATCTTAAGCTGCCAGTTTGTGTTATATTCGCTAGATACAAAAGTTTTGCGGTGTCTTGCAAAATATTAATCGAAATTTAAAATGTGAGACGACGTCCCGAAAAATCGTAATATCGAAATCTGGATATGGAAAAAATCCCCGAAATGTAATTTTGGAAATATTGGAAAGCATGCACCGAAATATTGGAAGCATGCGATTGTTCCGAAAAATTATAACAATTCTTTATTTTATGACTGACAAATAACTTTGTTTACACCGATTGTTTAACACGTTGACTGTCATGCTGATTTTCATTATTTCAATGCGGAACTATAAAGTCTGAATCGTTACAGATATAGTAAATGAATGAAATTCAGGCGATGTATATGTTCGCTCCCTTTGTGCATTTCGACTCCCTTTTGTGTATTTAATTCGTTATTTGCAATTGATTGCGTTTGAAACGTTAATTAGTGAAACATGGTAATATTATAATACACGAAGAAACTATAAGCCTTCCTTCTTTCAGAAAAATTCTTAATTTTTTAGCACTGCAGGAATAAGCTGTCAGTATAGTTTATCTGTCTAAGAAACATAATATATTTTTTAATAGTTGCTAGAACATAAATATTATACTAATAATATGGGAAATAAAAAGAAATATTCAGAGAAGGTCGTCGGTTATAAAATATTCTATAATAATTTTTATTTAATAAATATGCACATAACATCAACCTCAAAAGTTCATGACCTTGACATATGTTGTTAAGGACATGTTCCTGAATTTTATGCAAAAAGTTGCAGCCGTCGCTCATTGTTCATTAGAAAGTTATTAACAAAAGAAGTTGAATAGAATGTATGTGATTTTCGAACAATATGTATATATTTTATTATTATAAAATAATCCGTGATCGAATAATATATCTCGAATATACATTAAATCTCGAGTATATATTAAAAAATGTTAAATCCCAGCAAACACAATATTAAATGTAACATGCATGTTAGTTGTAATTTCCTACTCAATAATATAACTGTTATATAATACAATATAACACATGTGTTCAAAATTGACTTGTCGCGTCAGTTTTTTTCAGATTAAGAAGTTGGTCTTCCAAAAGATTATCATCCGTCAATATCCGAGCCTAATATGTAATGATATTCTGACATATCTTAATAAGATATAGATGTAGATATCTTATAGATATCTTATATAATTAATATCCTTGGAAGTTGACAATAAACCTTCTTAAAAATCTTACAAGTAAAACACATACAATAATAATAATAATAATAAAGTGTGACAAACGAATTATATTTTGACTTCCAACTTCAGATTCGTAATTAGAGGCCCCAAAAACCTTCAGATACCAAAGTTGGTTTGAATCCGCCATCTTTTTACAATTTCGGTCCGTCATATTGGGTCCACCATCTTGAATTTTGTAATTTTATCTCCAGATTCGTAATCAGCGATCTTGAAAACTCTTTACTGACTAGTTCAATGGAAGACAAGTTTGACGGAAATCACATGTAATATGTACAAAGGGTTGAAATAGTGCTTTCATGTTCAAGGATCAAGGGGTTATTTCCACCCTTAAAATGCGTTGTCAGCCAATTTAAAAAAACACGTGTTCAATATTTTTCAATGTTCTACGTGCATGTCAAATTTCATTGGAATCGGTGAGTGACAGTTGGGTAATGTTACTTGTCAATATCATTTTGGTGTGTTGAAGCGTTTGGTAGACCGTATTCGTCGTGTTCACCTTGAATATCGAGAACCAGGCAGTTGGCGATTGTTGCATTTTCTCATCGTTCGTCAATTGTCACTGATTTTTGATCAAAATCAAATTGTCATTGATTTTTTACCAAAAATCAAATTTTATTGCTTCAACATCCATGGTATTCACCCGATTTGGCACCTTATGACTATTTTCTATTCCCTAAGCTGCATTTGGCGATGAAAGGAAACCGTTTTGCATCAATTGAAGATATTCAACGGTCAACGACGAGCAATCTCAACAGTATTCCAATCAGCGACATAAAAAAGTCATTTGATGCACTTCTTGAACATGCAAATCATTGTATTTCTGCTGAAGGAAAATATTTCGAATAAATAAAATGATTTTATCAATGATTTTTTCTTAACTATTTTTGTTTTCTTAAAGCCATTCCGGTTATTTTTGGGACAGACGGTGGATGTATATGAGCACATAATTTTCCCCGTGAAAATCGAAGAATTCGAGAAAGGAAGAATTCCATATGAAAAAAAAATTATAAAAATATTAATTTTGTTGAAATCTCAAAAGATGCCTCAATCAACATAATTTTGCTGTAAGGACTTTGAATAAGAAATATTATTTTTGCTCTATATATCAACAAATAATTTTATATTGAATTATTTTGATTTCATTATTGCATACACGCGATAATGTATTAAACTGATATGATATAATCTTCTTTATATGTACCGTGCCAGATTAATACGTGTTATCACATGCATTACTAAAATTAAGATAATTTAGTATGAAATTGCTATTTAGTGCACATATCAAACGATCGGAATAAACTAACACAATTTGGGATTACGTGTACGCTAATCAATAGAGTAGCTTTAACTCTCACTATCTAATTAAATGATTAGTCATTTCTAACTGCATGCATTAATGATTTATTATTTACTAATTACTTGAAGAAGCAGGAGAACGACGTGTTGAATTAATAACCTGGCGCTGTGATAAGTTACGTTAATATCCAGAAACGCGAATGTACATGTCGTTCATAAAATATTACTAACTTAATTATACTGCTTATGCTGCTGTTATTAAAGCTATTCTGTGTACTATAGTTAGCCAACTGGATCGCTCGCGAGTCAGAACAAACGAAAATTTGGTGATACATTCTATCTCCCTTTGCCTGCTGGCTGCGAGCCAGCAGAACTGTGTGTGACAATAAACTTTCAGAAATTAATATTTTATAGAAACATCACACAAATAATATAAAGAATAATATTCCTTAGAACTTGATATGTCTTTTTTAAATAAAAATGCTCCACGTTTCTCTAATTACCTAAAATAAAAAAAATATTATATTTTATAATAAAATATAAAGTCTTCTTACAAAGAAAAAAAGTAATACTTGTATTGGGTGTACAAATTAGTTTGGTCTGTTTTCAAAAGATGGCTCCGGCTGTTATGAATGGTTCATAGTGACTGCCGATTTTGGAGGTTTCAGAGAGGTTAGACATCTGCCAATAATATTCAGTTTATATCGCTTTGAGTTTCATACAAAAACCTTGCTTTTAACATGTCGTTGAAAATGTCGAATTTTGTGTTAACCAAGCAGCATTTGCGGGAGGTTTTAATTTTCTGCTTTAATTGGAAGAAAAGTGCAGCTGAAGCCCATCGAATGCTTGTTGAAGTTTATGGCGCTCCAACTGATAAATCATGTAGGGAATGGTTTCGACGTTTCAAGGATAGAGATTTCAGCGTCGAAGACAAGCCTCGCTCTGGACAGCCAAAAAAATTCGAGGACAAAGAATTAGAGGCATTACTCGAAGAAGATCAGAGTCAAACGCAAGAGGAGCTTGCAGAATCATTGGGAGTGACTCAACAAGCCGTTTCCGTACGATTGAAAGACATGGGATTTATTCAAAAACAAGGAAATAGATGCCTTATGAACTGAAACTGAGAGACGTTGAAAGGCGATTTTTCACTTGCGAGCAGCTGATTCAAAGGCAACAAAGAAAAGATTTTTTGCATCGGATTGTAACTGGAGATGAGAAGTGGATATTCTACGACAACCCCAAGAAGAAAAAATACTACGCCAAGCCCGGTCAATTGTTGCCATCGACCTCAACATCAACACCATAGCCGAACATACATGGTTCGAAGATCATGCTCTGTATTTGGTGGGACCAAAAGGGTGTTGTTTACTATGAGCTGCTGAATCCTGGAGATCCCATTAAGGGTGATCGGTATCGGCTACAATTGATTCGTTTGAGCCGTGCATTGCGAGAAAAACGGCCGGAATATGAGCAAAGATATAATAAAGTTATTCTTCTTCATGACAACGCTCGGCCTCATGTCGCAAAAAATAAAAAAATATTTGGAAATGTTCAAATGGGATGTTTTACCGCACCCGCCGTATTCTCCGGACATTGCTCCTTCTGATTATTGGTTGTTCCGAAGGATGCAGCACGATTTG